ATACTGACATAAATGAACATTTGCACGATATTCTAATTTTTCGAGTTTCACCTGTATGTTAGTTTTGATATACGATAATACAACAATTTGTAACCACGTAGAGCTTAGGCTATCCTATTATCTTAGTAGATAGATAAACACACCAGCTTCTTCCATATGCATACAACCTCTTTGGAATATACACCATTAAAAAACAAGGGGCCAAACAAACTAGTTTCTCAATTTTAATGGTTTCAGAACCAGCCAGGACTAATTTCAAAATATGATAAAGAATTCCCGTCATATTCTGAAGTTAATACTTGATATTTTTAATTCAGATGAAATGACTAATTATTGTTTTAAAATTCCTGTTTTTAGAAGACAAGGCATTGTATGCAAAGAGAAGTGGTTTGTATATATCCTGGCTTAACATACTAAGATTTGATTATCCAAAGCAAGGCAGTAAAACTTACTTCCAAGGAGTAGAAGATACAAACCTGATGCAAATGGCAATTACATTCAACCAATCTTATTCATTTTTTTTATGGCCTGAATTATTTTACTTACTGTAATTTCCCATTGGTTTTTCTTTTACAATCTTCCTTGAAGATTTTTTACATATACTCTCTTTAGAAATCCCATCATAATTGTTCTGCTTTTTGGGCACAACTGCAAGGTCTTGTGGAAATTCAGTTGCCTTTTTCTCTTTTATATCCTTTTCTGGTTTAAATGATTTGCCTTTTTGACCATCGGTTTTTAAAATATCTGACTGTGAGACAGATGAAATCTTATCTACCTGCTTGCTTGCCTGCCTACCAACAGAAGACTTTTGGGAGCTTTTTTCCCTTTTAGATTTGACCTTTTTCTGATTTGTTTTCTTTTCAGTCTGCTTACTGTCAGTCTCTGAAACATCAGAATCTGAATCAGAAAAATCATAAAAACGTTTCAGGTCCTCTGTAGAGCTGCGATTAATAGGTCGACCTCGCTTATCCACAGTATATTTCAACTTGAATTTTTTGTCATGAAACATAGCCCGAAATCTTGAATCAATTTTGATCTTGCGGTCCTTTTCTGGCATTTCCCAAAACCGAGGGTCTTTTGTGATGCGAGAAAACCGCTTGTCACTCATGAGTTCCTTCTTAGATTCCATTCTTGCTTTTTTTTAATAAAATGTAACAAATTTTAACTACTGAAAGGAAAGAAAAAATAAGTATTGTCATATCATAAAATAATAATAAATGCTATCTTCTAAAGTTAAAATAGTTCATATATGATAACAAAGCAGTATTCCATAAAACAAGACTGAAAAACACTATTTTTGATAAAAGAAGAGATTTTTAGAGAAGCATATGGTAAATAGGAAAAGACATTCAATCTTTCTCTGCCCTCAGAACCACCCAGCATTTTTAGGTCAATTATGGATAACATTAGGCAGTATGTTACATCCACCTACACTGTGGCACATACATTTAAATAACACAGAAAAATAATTCACGTTGCTTCATCCTTTGGTTGCACTTATATGCATATTGAATATAACTGAACTTGAATAAATATACGCTATGTATTTATTAATTTATATGCTACATTTATATCCTTTATTAGATCAAGGCAGTACACTTAAGATCTTTTCTCATTTTATCTCCCATATATTTTGTGGGGTAGACAGGGCTCAAAAGTAGTCACTGGCCAAAAATCAAGCAGTAAATGTTACGGTTAAGAAGATTTGAAGATGGGTCTTCGTGGTCTTAACCAATAACACCATGCATGGGAATACCAAGTACTAATTCTTCTGTGTTTAATGTCTCTGTATTTAAGTTCCGAATCTAACAACGCAGCAGCTATTCCTCGTTAATTATCATCAAACATCTACATTTTAGTTTATCGTGTAGTGGGAATCTAGCATTGAACTCACTGTTCACTTAACAAAGATTTAGCGTATTGCATAAACAAAGTGCAACGCGCAGAGAAACAAAAGTCAAGGTCGTGAATCTCTACATCTGAGCCACAAGATAACAGAAAAGGAAAGAAAGCGGCCTCGCGTGAATCTCATAACCCCATAATGCTCCCCAGCAGAAATCTCACTTACTTATTACGTGTCAATCCCGCTATTACCGCTACCAATGCTACCACTCGTTTAACTACGCCTGAACAAACCACGCGTCGACCCTAGGTACCGAACAGGCTTCCGTGCGCAGAAAATGTACGTCATTTCCTACAGCGACTCGAAAGCCAAATGTACATTAACTTCATACAGGTAGCGGAGGGGAGGGGCAGAAAAGAGGAAGTACGGCTTTACTGGAACCTATCAGACCAATCAGTGCGTTGTTTTTTTTTTCAAAGAACTACTTTTAAGGAAATTTCAATCTTTGCTATTTTGGGTCGTTTTAAAAACCTGGATTTTAATGAGCTTCTTCAAGTCCTCTATCGCACAGGGGCTTTTTTGATCTGATCCAGCTGGGCTGTTTTTTTTGTACAGATCGAAGAAGCAGTAGCTGAGCATCGGTTGTAATTATCCTTCAGTGTGGTCCAGCACTGTCATCCATGTACTGAACGCTGGAGCAAAGACTTAGAAATGCAATATTATTTGGTGGCCTGTCCCTGTATCACAATGGGAGGGGACACTGAGAGATATGACGTACAGTAACACTGTAATGCATTTCACCATTAACATTGGAGGTTGGAGATGCAATGTTTTAAGTCTGCAGTGAGGCTGAAAGAGAAGCCTTTAACGCAGTCTAGGTTTCTTAGGCTGAACTTGCATGTCGCTCTAAATTGAAATGTGATTGGGTAATTCGAGGCTCAGTATGTTATGTGAATTGTTTATAGCTCAGAATGTTAGTGAATCCTAGCAATCGTCTAGTTCAATAGCCAGAATTAAGTAAAGCATGCGTTAAATACATAATAAGCAGGACTTCTAAGTCAGTACCTTTATTATTTCCCTACTGTGCAAGTCAGTAGAAATTGCAAAGTAACATTCTTCCTAGAAGTCAACAGGGAAGGTTAGTTGGTGGTTCTAGATGTCATGAAAAACCAGCCGAGGACTGACTTCCCAACCATTATTTGTGACTGACTTCACATTAAAACGTTATTTGTCAGTGGTTTATTGAATAAACCAATTGGCTGGATTTGCACAATTGGGTTTAGCATGCTGGATAAACCCTGTCTGTAACTGATGCAAGCACGGTTTAAACACCTACCGCTTTTTCCTCCCCTTCTCCCCGTTCTGCCTGAATTTTAATCCACTTGCCTGGTCAGGAAAGCTTGTACCCTACGTAGTACTCTTGAGCTAACTTAGTAAACTTAGCTTTCAGATTTATTTATTTTTTATTTGTTTAAAAACAAGACTGTTTTCGCTACTGAAACGTGCAGTATAATTGAGCAAGCCACCCTCCCATCCCTTTCAGATGGGTTTGCCTACCCCCTCCAGCTCCAAGCTAGCGTGCAGAAGTAGCTTCAACTTGAGGCAGGCGGATATTGCGAACCAAACAGGCGTTTGCTGCTCTGTCTTTTCTAGCTCTAGCAGTCCTTACAAAGCGAGCGCCGGAGGAGCAATGGAAGCTAAGGCGTTTCTGCGGGCGTCGTGCCTTTGCCGCCTGCAGTTAGCGGCGGTGAGAGGCGCGCCGTGGGGGCCCTGGTTCCGCCGCCGCTTCGCCCCTTCGGCGCCCTTGGGTGTGGGGTCCCGTCCCGCCACGGGGCCCGGAGCCCTCAGCCCTTTCGACCGGCAGATGAAGAGGAAGCAGAAGAACTGGGCAGCCGGGCAGCCTCACGCGGAGCACTGCGAGTATCTGCGGGAGGAGGTAGAGGCGAAAGGGCGGGAGGAGCGGGCGCTCCGATCCACCCGCTGCCGACCTCGCGTTCTGAGGCATCTCGTGCCTTCGCGAGTATCGAAGAAACTTTTCGGTGCTGTTGTCGGAGGAAAGCCCCGAGTAATCTAGCCTCCCTCCCCCAAAACTGCCGAATTACATCCAATGTCCTTTTTTTTTTTTAGCCCTCAAATATCGTTAAGATTCTTCCGGCAGCAACGGATACATTATACTGTATTGTAAGGAATGTGCTGAAAATCTTAGGTTCTAGGTCGTTTTTGTTCTGTTTTCATTCTGACCTTACTTTGGTGGTCGAATTAACATGGGATGTGAAATATTTTGATCTGCTAAAGCGGTGCTTTAGTTTTGTGTAACATTAAAATAAAAAAAGAAAAGAAAAAGCCACTTTGGTGTAGCAGTTAAGCACCAGGCTAGAAATCAGGAGATGGTGACTTCTAGTCCTACCTTAGGCACAAAACCGGCTGGGTGACCTTGGGCCAGTCACTGTCTCTCAGCCCTGGGAAGAAGCAGGCAAGGTCAAACCACTTCTGAAAACCTTGCCAGGAAAACTGCAGGGACTTGTCCAGACAGTCGCCAGGAGAACACTGACTCAAAGGCACCAAAAAATACCTTAAAATTAATGAATTGGTATCAAAAATGTTTATAAATTGCAGTTTATTTTGTTAGATGTCATAATTTGTTCAACATTGATTTGTTGGGTAAATTGCAGTGGGAATGTTCACACGTTGCATTAAAACAAAATCCATGATTTACAATTTAACACAGCTGCTGATGTGAATTCATGCAACATACTAAGTAGTATGAACCAATTCTATTATTAGAGTTGTCAGAACTAGAATACAGACCCCTTTTGGACAACATGATGGCAGTAAAGAGGTGTAGAAAATACTAACTCTCGTCATCTAGATTATTACAGTCTACTGGTAGCCCTACTGCTGTGACTTGGCATGAAGTGTGAATTCTGTCATTGTTTCAACAGTTTTCCCCCAATCCTATGCCAAATGTGAAGAACAGAAAGAATAGCAAAACCATCTTCTAATAAATATTAATTTTTTTCCTGTATTCTAGGTTGGTAGTAGGATGGCTGATCGTGTGTTTGACATATCCAGGTAAGATATTATCTCATTTTTTTTCTCTACAAAATGATGTGCCTTGTCTGTATAATATAAAGCTTAAAGATAAGAGATGTAAATACTTAAAAGCAAAAACTTGCTAACTTGGGCAATAAACTATTATAGTTTGTATTTATTTATTTATTTATTTTTATTTATTTATTAAATTTACATGCCACCCATCTCCCCCAGAGGCATAGGGTGGAAAGAATGATTTTTGATTTGGGATTTCATTGTAAGTGTATTACATTATTCATTACCTTGAGTTCTGTTCATTTTATCTCAGCAGTACTGAAAAATGGGGATGAGGAATTTCTGATCCATGAAGCAAATGTGGCATTCTAGGTTGCTCTGTCCAGCCTACAGAAGCCTGGTCAGATGTCCCTCACCTACCTTAAAGCCCTGTCCCTCAGATGAAAGGCCCATCTGTTCATGTATATAGGGATGAGAGAAATTTTGTGAACCCTTTAGAACTATCCATAATCCTGAAGTACTATGACCTACAGTGTGATCAGAGGTTCATCTGAGATAAAAGATTCTGATTAAACAAACAACATACAGTACAAACATGTGCTATCTCAGGTCTTTATTGTAAACATTAAGCCAATGTTTTAAAAGTATGTGAAATCCTAGGATAATCAGCTCTTTTAAGGAGTAAGTCAAATGTTCCAATCAGGTATGCATTTGAGGAGCCTTTCCTGTACATATGCACACTTTGGTTGCCACTCTCAGAGCTTGCTCTTCATGACACAGGATCGTGGAAGTGAATCATGCCCCTGTCAAAAGAGATCTCTGTAGTCCTCTGAAAAAGAGTTTTGATGGTGTTGAGTAAAGACATGACAAAATACACTGTCTTATGTGTTGCTATTTAACTGGAATCTCTGTCTATTAATACAACTTAGTTGAAGCTCAAATCCCACCGTAGGTACTGCAGAATTACTGAGAGTTTTAAAGAGTTCACAAACTTTATCTCATTGTTCTCACCCTGCATATCAAACAAGATTGGGCAAGCCAGAAGGCCTGAGTTGCATGCCATACCAACATCCTGGCTTTGTGATTCTGGAAGCTTTCTCCAACCACAGTAGCCCAAACTCAGGAAATGGCTTCTCACAATTTTCAACCAGGAAACAGAACAGTAATATAAGCTCTAAAATATGCTTAACATAGTTTTAGAGGGAATTTAAAAACTCTCAATGACCCTAAACGCAGAAAAGTTGTAATCCCTGTTGTGGAAGAAGCATTCTCTGTTTTCAATTTGTTGCAGCTATCAGATTAAGCTTTACATCAACCAGCTTCAAAAGAAGCAATTCATCTTTGAAATTTGCATCCATCCTTTTGTCTACTTCAGTTTCAAAGCATTTAAGGGAATATGCCCAAAGAAGCTTTAAGTGTATATTTTTCTGAATTAGAACTCAGGAACGAAATAGCAAAAGCTGCTGCATTGAGACCGACTCTTAGATGACTAAATGCTGTCCTCTTACCCATTTCTGATAAGGAATAAGCATTGCTGAACACTGCAAGAATCATTCCTGACTCAATATTTCTAGAATTGAAGTGGGAATTACTGTGTAATTTTCATAGGATTGCAGTGTGAAGAAGAAGGGGACTGAATTTGTAGGCATTAAGATTCAGTCAGTATATGATATTAAATATCCATGATCAGATTATGTTCACCTTGATTAGGGCAGTGTATTCACAAGTAAATACACGTAAGATTGCTAACTCTGTTGGTAAAAGCAATGGTTTTACTGAAACATTGCACACAAAGTAGGTCAATGATTTGCAGTTTTGCATCTTATTCCTATTCTATTTTTGGTTCTTAAGGACATTTCCCCTTGCCTTGGACCTTGGGTGTGGGCGAAGCTATATAGCTCAGCATTTAAACAAGGTATTATGCTTTTCTGTAGCTTGGGTTTTATTCATAGAGTACAACCTATTACATTGTGGATGGCTGAACAAATCACATTTGGCTGATTTACACAATACATCAAACTAGTAAGCCATGGGTTATAAGCCAAAATGGATGGGTTCATACAACACATGAAGCTATGGCTAGACAGATTGCATTATGACTTAATGTGTTGTGTGAACCCGCCTAACTTTGTGAATTTGAATCAGACAACTGAACTAAGTAATTAGTCAAGCCTCTGCTGCATGCTAAAAATAAGATATAAAAAGCGTCACTCCTGTTTGATCATATCGTGTTTGATAGTCTCAGCATTTGACAGACTGTGGTCACAAAGAAGCAAACCCCTTTGGTTCAGCTGGATTTTTAAATAATTATGCAGAGGATTGCAGCTAGTTGCTGTGGCTTAGAATACATGGGGGTTTTGTGCGGAGGGCAAAGGACCCTAACTGTGTTTTCCTCTGTATGTCTGATCAGAAACCTCTTCCACCTAATTAAAAAAGGCTTTCCCCAGATAAGGAAATAGAAGTCTATAGTGTGAGCGTGTTATGGTTCCCGAAATACCTGATTTTTCAAAATGTTTCAGGGTAGCTTTAGACTAATAGCAGTAGTTCCATAGATCAATTCTTTATAGTTTCAAAAGTATTATTTTAACAAAATAATACCAGGTATATGAATACAAAGAAATAGTTTAATGATGCATATACAATATTATCTTTTAACAAAGGCCTTATCACATACAACATACATGCTGTTCTTATTCTTCATCTGGCTAGCCAAACAAGCTTACCTATCTTGCCTCCTAAATAAAATCAGTAAAATAATTGAAAACCTCTTACAATCTATTTTTCTTTCAGGATGTTGTTGAAAGGCTTTTTCAATCAGATGTGGCTGAAAATGCTCTGGTAAATATTTGCATGATGTTTGCCAGATATTAATTCATGCTACTGAAAAGTTGAATTGTCTTAACTGGAGTCCTAAGTTATTTCTCTTCTAATCTGATTTAGAAGAACACAATACATTCAGAAATACCAAGAGTCAATATTGTAGCTGATGAAGAATTTCTTCCTTTCAAAGAAAACACATTTAATCTTGTTGTCAGCAGTCTGAGGTAATTAACAATTGAATTAGATACATGTATAATGAGAATAGTGGTTTTTATAATTGTGACCCTTAGTTCTAAAACTCTTTCTGAGGTTGTAATTTTGTATGTTAGTATAATACCTGGTCTGCTACCAGAACAAGCTTGACAAGTGTAATTTATAATTGGGAGACCAGAAGTTTAATATAAAGAAAATTGACTTTATTGGATGTACTCCTGCAACCTTTCCTAAACACTGCTTTAGAGGACTTGGTGTGTTGATCTGCAGTAAAAAATGAGGAAAGCATATTTATTTTATTTATTTATTTATTATTAAATTTGTATGCTGCCCATCTCCCCCCAACGGGTGACTCCTTGAATCCTAGCCTTTACATAACTGGCTATCTAAGTCAAAGGGATCCAAGATTGAATTTGCACAATACAGTGCAACTGACATTTTGGATGAAATGCACAGCAGAAATGATGCCACATGCACTCATGTTACTTAAGATCATTCTCTTGGTATGTTATATAAATGCAGCTTCGCTGTGGTATATTTTTCTTGTGCCAACATGCCACTCTGAGCTTGCCACCTAAAATTTACAGTGCTGAGATAGTTTTGTGCCTTTTATTAACTTGCTTTCTATTGTAATTACTTTTTAGTTTGCATTGGGTCAATGATCTTCCCAAAGCATTGCATGAAGTAAGTACACCCGTTCCCTCCCTATAATATATTGATATCACCCATCTTTTATTGGTATATAAAATTTTCTGCAGAAAAATGCTTAAGAAACATGCCTGCGTGTTCAGACCCTCAGGGAACTGATGACAGTAACACTTCACTGTTGTTTTAATGTGCAGGTGGCAGCACCTGATTGACCTTGTTTGGACTCAGAAGCTAAGCTGGTTCAGGCCTAGTTAGTTCTGTGATGAGAGACCTCCAGGGACAAGAAGACTGGAGACTAGATTGGGAGGTTGAAATGACATCCCAGAAGAAGGCAATAATAATAAGCCACATCCTTACTGTTGCCAAGGAAACTACATCAGTATATTCCTAAAGCAAAAACACAATTGTCAGAGCAAGCAACCTAAACTCAACAAGAACTGTGTACAGTCAATAGCTATGGAATATTGAGTGTTAGTTAGCAAAGGAAAAAAAAAAAAAAGGAAAGGGGTGGAGTAAAAGAGCCTCTTTGAGCTTATTTATGGAACCCTCAACAGAAATCATGTCGGAAGAAGCAAAAACACAATTGTCAGAGCAAGCAACCTAAACTCAACAAGAACTGTGTACAGTCAATAGCTATGGAATATTGAGTGTTAGTTAGCAAAGGAAAAAAAAAAAAGGAAAGGGGTGGAGTAAAAGAGCCTCTTTGAGCTTATTTATGGAACCCTCAACAGAAATCATGTCGGAAGAGATACTGACCTGTAATATTTTGCTACAGATCCTATTTTCTGTAAAGTCAGTCCATAATGTACTCACCTGCCCACAGCTGATACAGCACAGTAGATAAAGCTAAGCCTAGGGCAGAGTTCAGTAATCCACAGCCCACATGCAACCATGGTCACTCTTTACACAACCCCTGTTGCCCATGCTCTTTTCTTTGCTACTAACTGAATGCTAGATGGTGGGGAAAAGATTGCTGTTCTGACAGCTGCAATCAGCAGCAGCAGAAGTGGAATTATTTTGATGAGGAGGCTTTGATATCTCTTACTCCCCCATCTTGTCTGAAGGCTTGTGCTTTTTCCCTATCAGTAATAATGGATAACCTTGGTTGAAGCAAGATCATTGGATACAGGACTTAAAGCCTTTCCCCCCACTAGTCCTACCCAGATATTTATTCTTCCTCATTTGAAAGGGAGTCTGCTGTCTGTTTTGGGGAAATAGCACTTTTTGTGTATGCATACATATGTGTATATATTATTGGCATATAGCCCTGACCTGTAGTTGCTGCTCAATGTAATTTTCAGAGCCAAAAGGATTGCTCACTTCTGGCTAAGAATATTGATCCAACTGCTTGGGGGCAAGTCATTGCCAAACCTATCCCATCCCATACTTTTCCTAACAGTTGAGGTATATTAATTTGGATTCCTACATCAACTGCATGGCCGCTTCCAATTCTAATAATTCCTGCAAATGCATTGGTTAAATATTTCTTGTGTTACATGTCCAATGAGATTTTGTGGAATTTAAGAATGAAGTACGTCTAAGTCAATGTTGTCCAAACTTGGGCACTTTAAGATGAGTGGACTTCAACTCCCAGAATTCCCCAACCAGCATGGCTGGCTGGGGAACTCTGGGAGTTGAAGTCCACTCATCTTAAAGTGCCCAAGTTTGGACAACACTGGTCTAAGTATTTTATAGTGACTTGCAATGACAGGCTGCATTACAATGAAATGGGTGAAGTTTACCATGAAGTAAGCCCTTAGCATCAAAATGTATGCAGTGATACTTTAGATCTTTGTTAATGTTTGATTTAATTATGATGATTTATTTCAGGTACATCGAGTCCTTAAACCTGATGGAGTATTCATTGGTTCCATGTTTGGGGGAGACACACTCTTTGAGCTTCGCTGCTCTTTGCAGCTAGCAGAACTAGAAAGAGAAGGTGGATTTTCTCCACATGTGTCCCCTTTTACAGCTGTGAGTGACCTAGGACATCTACTGGGAAGAGCTGGCTTCAACACACTGACTGTGGTAATTATCAGTTATAAGAAAGGAACATTCCAGAAAACTACAAGAAGTGCTAATCAGTACTTGTTACCTTGCTTCAACAGAAAGAAATCTCTAAGTGGTAATGTATTTGCCATAAGATAAAGCAGACATGGGAACCAGCCCATGAACTGGAAGCAGTATACTTTATTTCTGCATTTGATATATAGAGACCAGGCTGAACCTGAACCTCCCCTTCCCAATAGGATCTGGATCTGAAGGAGAAGAACTTCACCTGCTGAAGTCTCCTGGACTTCAGCAGAAGGATCTCAAGGTCTCAGATTATTCATGTTTCCCTATCCTGTTCATTAAATCAGAGTAGTTGAAATGATCCCCTTTCCAATCATTTAAGGAAGTTCCAATAGGATACCATGATCAGTGGTATCAAAAGCCACTAAGAGATCAAGGAGGGTTGTGCTTCCCCAATCCCAGACATCACCAAGCATGACCAGTACAATTTCTGTGCTGTATCCTGACCTGACCTCTGACTGACAAGGATCCAAATAATTTCTTTCCTCTAAGGCTCTACAGTTCAGAGGCACCATTTTCTTCACAACATTTTTTAGAAAAGGAAGCTTGGGGATGGATCTAAAGTTGTCCAAAATAGTCAGCTTGAACAAAGGTTTCTTAAGTAGGGGGCACACTACAGCCTCTTTCAGAGGTGATGGAAACAACCCTTCACTCAAGGACTGATTACTGCTTGGATCCAACCTCCTGCCATCTCACGGGAAGCCTTAGCCAGCCATTAGGAGCAGGGATCCACCTGAGAAGTGGTAGAACTGACACTGCAGCGGGTTCTGTCTGCTTCCTTGGAACTCACAAACTCAAAATGTTTCCAGATCACTTCACAAGATGACATCCCAGTCATTTCCATTGGCACTGTCCAGGTGAAGTCCAGCTCCTCTTAAATCTAAGAAGTTTTGTCCATCAAATGCTAATTATTCACAGCAGCCCTTCAGATGGTTTTGGCAAACATTCTTGAGAATGGAGCAAGTTGCATTAAAAGGGCTGCTGGATGGCAATAAAGTGGCAAAATATTTTGGTTTTGTCACTCAACATGAGCTTGTACCAGTGTCCAGTCAGACTTGAGGTGGGCCTTCCAGCAGCGTTCTAGGCATCTTCTCTGCTACTTCATCTCTCTCAGCTCCTCAGTAAAGCAAGAAACTGCAGTGGATCTGCAAGCAGAGAGAGGCTGCTCCAGTGCAATGTGGTCCAGCCTCCTGGATGCCCCTTTAGTCCAATGGGTGACCATGGTCAAACTGCCTACCAGATCCTTGGGAGTCTCTCTAAGAGCCCTTTGACCCATTTTTCCCCACTGTGGAGAAAGTGGGGTCACACTGCAAAACTCCTTAGCAGACAGAGAATAATCTGACTGGCAAGGGTGAGTGAAACCACCCTTTGGATTGTGTGGGTTTGTTTCTTATTGTTCCCATCAGTTTTTTGTCATCCTTGCCATCTTTACTCTTCATTTTGGTCTATTACTGTACAGTAGTTTTGTTTATTTGTTTGTAACATTTTTATTTGTAACAGTCCAGAGTTGTTGGGAGTTGGGTAGCATATAAATTAAAATGATAATAATAAGAAAATATCCTTATCCTCCATGACAAGGGGCAAAATTTAATGCCCCCCCCATTTCAAATTGGTTCGTGTCTGCCCCAAGTCAGAAGCTAGATCTAGTGTGTGACCTTTCACATGCATCAGTCCCTCAATAAGTTGGTCGGGCTTGTAGTTGTCTTCATGATCATGAACTTCTGGGCTGCTTCAGGTCCCTAGCAGAAGGAAGTTAGATTGAAGTCCCCCAACTTTACTAGCCAGGGGACCGAAAGGAAGCAGGGGAGGGGATGATTTGCAGTAACACATTGCACTAATCCATGGCTCACTGAATGAGCTACATTGGCCTGGTTTACACACAACACCAAGGTCCAGTCTGTGATTTACCAACCACATTGGCCAGTCAAATCATGATATGGCTTAGTGTGATATACAAACCCAGCATCTATTTAACTAACTTGCTGGACTACTCTTTCTATAAGCTGCAGTAAAACCAATGTTTGTTGGTTTGGTATAGTTTTTTCTTACCCCAACTGATTTTTCTTCTGTCAGTGTGCAATGTCAGCATTTTATTGATAGCTCCAGTTCAAAAAAATAAATAAATAAACATTCTACAATATGCAGTGGTATATAGGATAGAGACAACATAGTCAGCAACATTTAGTTTTACCTCATTTATTTATTTCTGGGATCCCATTTTTAGACAATATGTTTTGTTCTGGAGATAAATCTAACTATTTACTATTTTCAGGATTCAGATGAAATCCAAGTTAACTATCCAGGAATGTTTGAAATTATCGCTGATCTACAAGGCAAGTCCAATTTTTTAAAATAGTGAACTACCAGAGCTATTTGACTTCATTTGGAGAAATAAGTGACAGATCAACATTACTTTATTATTGAATTGTGAAGTATATTGATGGGAGTAAATACACTCTTTGTCGCAGAGGAATTAATGAAAAGTATATGAATATAGAAATAATATATGTTTCAGAACCTATGAATGCATAACATAATTTACATTTGCAGTCTACTTTTTCATATCCTGTTAAGATTGATAGTATACAGTTCTGCATATTGCGTTTAGCTTATTTACAATCAAAGACCAAAACCTCTGTATGTTGTGGCTACATTTCTAAAATGGGTGGTAAACTTACAGACAGAACTCTGAAATTATGCCACATAAATTAATAGCAAAGTGGTCAAATTGGGGGTGCTATGTTTGGACATTCTCCAAGTTTGGGGAGGGTTTTAAAAGTGAGAATTGTAGCAATTTATCTCCTAAAGCCCTCTGCCCCCGTTCTCCCTGCCAACCACCCTGTAGCAGCATCTGGAGGGGGGATGGCAAAGGAGAAAGGAAGGTTAGACTGACAAAAGCAGTATTTGGGCACAAGCCCTGCCCCCTTTCTACAGGCATCACAACATTGCATGTGTGCCCCAAAAGGCAGCACATCATGGCACTGTTACCACTCCCTCCCTTCCCCCAGAAACTGAATTGAAAAAAAAAAAATTAGGTATATGGTTTCTGGGTGATGTCCCTTCCCTCAGCACCTCAGAAGATGCTTGCCTCTGTCCTAGGGTGTGGCAGAGTGACCTTTCAAGTAACAAGCCATAGTAGTGACCCGTGTATTCCAGTAGATATATTTTGTAGGTATAAACTGTAGATATGTCAAAGGCCAATTGTTTGGTTCCATTTAAACCAACCTTGCATTATTAATATACTCATATAGCTATCATTATACATCAAGTAAGTAGCTTTTCATTTCTGCTTAGACTTGACTCACCAGTGTAATTTTGAATCAAACTGAATTCTTGCATCTTTTCTTTCCTCAAATAGTTGAAGGAAGTGCTTTGAGAGCTGGGGTATTGCTGTCTTGATTAATTTGTACATTAAAGAGAAACATCGGTTGCAATTTTAAGCACAGTTAGGTGGAGGTAAATTCCACTGAATTCAGTGGAGTTTACTTCCCAGGTAACATATAAACAATTGTTCTGTTGTAGAAGGAAAGTTGGAAGCTTTCTGCTATAAGCGTTATGAAGACATTTTCATAGAAAATTGTTTACTGGTCAACTGTATTAAGTGTACTTCTTTATGTTGTATAGGTCTTAGTTTTCAGTGGATTCACTTATCTTAATGTATACTTGTTTATAAAGAGATTTTAGGGCTAAAGACTGCTTACTGGGGTTGCCGTCCTTCATGTAACCTCATTGTGGATAGATTAATTTATCTTTGAGTAAGCAGAAATCTTTGGCGTTATTTTAAAGCAGTTATGCTCATCTGATCCTATTCATATTGCTGAAATGCATTCAACTGATGGTGTGTGCTGTATCTTCCTTTAAAGCCTGAAACTGTTTTTAGGTATGGGAGAAAGTAATTGCTGCTGGAACAGGAAACCTTTGCTACACAGAGAAACCATGTTGGCAGCTGCAGCCGTGTATAAGGGTATGAGCTTCCCATTCAGTAAGACATCTTTATCACATGGAGCAAGGTTTTATCACTCTGTATTTTCAAGCTTGCTCACTCCATGCTATCTTCTGTCCTTTCCATAAACAGTGGTGCTTAACAGTTTGGGAAAAAGTTTGCTTTCGGTAACCGGTGTGCCTCCCTTAGGGTAGCAATAACTGCAACTAAACGTTTCACCTACTTTTGCTGGACACAAATACATAGCTTTGGATAATTTTCCTCAATAAATAAGTGAACAAATATGTTTTTGACTCATTTTTTAATTGGGTTCTCTTTATCTAGTTTTAGGACTTGTGTGGAGAACAAATAACGTTTTAGGTCATATTTAGGCAGAAAGATTGAACATTCAAAAGGGTTGACAAACTTTTCAGCACCACTGAATGTACCATTCCAGCATAGATATATAATCCACTGGCCTTAATGCTAAAGAGAGAATGGAAACCTAGCCAGTGAAACATAGTTATGATATAAAGTTGTCATCCTTTGCTGATTCTTCCCATAGGCTGTCATTATAAGTGGCAGTTATAACTACCTATTTGGGTAGCACAACCAGTGTTCTGCTCAAACAAGAGACAGAAAATGGAGAGGAGTTTATGCCAAGAGGGTTGGTGTGCCTCCAGTGAACCCACTGCATTCCCCTGTGCTCTTTTCTGATGGTTCCTGATAGTTGATAAATTTGCTGGCATTGGGAGTTGGGTCAGTACCTTTAGAGCATTAAGCTGCCTTGAATTGGATACAAGCCACTGATTTTATAATAGATTAGATAGGTTTTTGCTGTATTTCTTGTTGCTGCATTGAAATAAATGCAAAATGTTTCTTTTGCAGAATTGTACGGAAATAATGATGGGACAATACCAGCAACATTTCAGATTTATTATATGATAGGATGGAAATTCCATGAATCACAGGTAATATTTACCTTCCCTGTAATACGTGGGGTGGCTAAATAAGTGTATGTATTAGGGTTTTTAAAGTGGACTCTGCACCTGCAGGAAAAATGCTAGGAAGAAAAAAAAAAAAGGTTTTTAATTGATTTTTTAAAAAAGGAACCATATTATTTTACTTAATAGTTGGTTCCCATGTTTAAACTTATAACTTCTTTTTCCTTTTCAGGCACAACCAGCACAGAGAGGTTCTGCAACAGTATCATTTGGGGATCTGAGAAAAATAAATGAACTTATTCCAGGCAAAAAAAACCTTTGACATGAAATATCATAGTAATATAAATTGTACATAGCCTGTTGAATATTTAGCAGTTATCATTTAATTTTGACAAACAACTGACACTATGTTTCCCCAAAAGTTTACTTCAGTGCCTAGGAAAAAAAGGGTTTATATTCCTGTTTACCATTTCAGTGGCTGTATTTTTATATATAAATGGTAATAGTAAAGTTGCAAATTTGAACTGGATACATCCAAAGAAATGATAGTGTGTATTTCTGTATAGGTATTACCTGTCCATGTGAAAATGTGAGAGGTCCACCTACTCAATAAATGAATGGCAGAGTAGGGACTGGGTAGTTGCTCCTACAACCCCTAGGCATTACATGGAAGGGCCATTCTGACTGCTGCATTTTTTGCATCTTCTGTTAAATAATGTATTGTCTGTTAGCTAGTGGGCTGTTTGATGAAAGGAAAGCCATTTAATTCCACTATGCCAGACTACATGCTTTTGGGACCTAGATTCTTGGCTAGGATCCCAAGGCCCACCAATGAAGAGCTGAGATGACAAGTAATGGTATACAGTAGGCATATGCTAAGAATTAAGGAACAGTGGGCTTCTAATTGTATGTTCATCCCATAGGTGACTATTACAAGCTACAGTGTCATCACATGCAATTTGACATCATTGTAGAAATGTATCATTTGCATGATGCTATCTGTTAACTTGGGCCACTTGTGGAATAACTTCATGATGCACACATAAGCATTTACCCACCTTGCCACCCTGCTGACACTCATGGATAAGAGTGTCAAAGTAATAAGGATCCAGGTATTTTCCTGGTAACAACCATCCCTGGATTTTCTTTCAATTTTTTTTCTCAACTATCCAGAACAAAAGATTTATTTTTTTTATGCTGCATTAAACAATTATGAGTCAGGCATCCATGCTGACTTACAGCTAAGTTATCCAAAGATCTATTGGTATCTCTTATTCTAGCTTTTGCACTTGTTAAAATGGGGATAAATTTTCCAGTTAAAATAGTAAACCACAATAATCTGTTTATAAGCTTAATTATGACTTCAATGACTTAGCAGAGCTGCTACCTTTAATTCCTCCTATATATGTGTATGTGTGTCTGTTGTGTATAAAATAAACAAGTTATGCTTGCACAATCAGTTAACTGAACCGTAGTTTATTGAAATTAACTCAACATGTGACCAACAAATCAGTCACATTTTAACCTATTATGTTGTGAGAATCCAGCCCAGATGGAGAGAGATAATTTGGAAGAGTTAATCAACTCATTTGCCTTAAAAAGGAGGTCCATTTTACTTTTGATGTGCATGGCAGGCTGTGATTGACCAGGCTTGTTCATGCTCCCAGCTGTATGGTGATCTATAATCAATGTGGAAGAGATGTAAGCACATAATGATATGGAGAAACTGATGTATGGAGGAGCTGAATACTCAGAGAGATTGCTGGAAGGAACTCATTGAAGCAGTTCTCCAGATATTCAAAATACAGAAGTTGCAGTATTGTTGAACTCTCTGTTTTGGTGTCGTCATGTAAATGAATTGATCACACAACAAGATGGCTACATGCAACTGCATACACTTATCCTAAGTATCTGTTACTGCCTGTTTAGGGCTTCTGTACTGTGTGGCTGTAGTCACACAATAATGCTAAACTAATATTAGAGGTGTACAAACTATTTGAGCTCCAAATTCCTTGTTCCAAACTCATTGGATGGGTTCTGGTGATGATCTGACTCTATCAAAAGAGTATCAAGCCAAGAATACAGATGGAACACTTCCTTTCAAATTCAAAAGGTTTTGCACACCTGTACTCAAAATTAGTTTTGCTTATTTGCAGTTTAGTATATTGTGTGAATCCAGCCATTATAGTTTGTAAGTTATGCTGTATGGGTCAGTGTATTGTATGAAGCCTGACAATTGTATTTAACTTAATGACGCAGCATGCCAGTTACGCTATTGAACCTAGAAGAAGGAGACAAAGAGGAATATTTAGAAGAAGTGTCTAAATCAGTGTTGTCCAAACTTGGCCACTTTAAGATGAGTGGCTGGCTGGGGAATTCTGGGAGTTGAAGTCCACTCATCTTAAAGTGGCCAAGTTTGGACAACACTGGTCTAAATGCTCAAATGGTTGAAGCAAAAACCATTTGAGCATTTAGACACTTGTTCTTTTTACATTTTCAAAACCAAGCTATTGCCCCATCCTACTACTGTGCAGTTTTTATGGTTACATTCTCTTATCCTTAGTTTACTTTCAGTCTATTGATCTGTGTTCATCAAATAGCTAAAGATTATGACATTATTTAACTAGAAAGAAACATAGCACTCTGATCTGTGGAAGACTCTGTTGTCTTATATTAATAAGAGAAATTCAGTGCAAGAATTATCCTCAGGAAGAGATAGTTGTTTGGCTAGATCAGTTAAAGCATAATACACTTTCTTTCACCTTTTGTATAGCTGAACACAGCAGATTTGGATTCTTCTTCTGTCCTTTAATTAAACAGAACAGCCCAAATGTCAGTGGTCTGGTTTACCTAATACTAAAACAATTAACAACATAGTTTATGTGTTTTGGCTTAGTGTGATACGTGAGCTCACTTATAGCTTAGTATTATGTACAAACCAAGCATGTTCCATAAACCATGGTTAATAACTGGCATATGCAGTGGGTGAACCTGCATGCCACCAGTGTTGAGGTTGAAAATGAGATCTTAGCATCACTTGGGCCAATTTTTAATTAATTTACAGATTATCAATATCAGATTAAACTTGAATAGTTTTCAGTCTTACCTAAGGTTTTCAGCCATTCATAGAGAGATTTCAGGCTACTTACTGAAAAAAGAACACTTAGCCTACCCATTTCTCAAGGTCAGATGTATCTATTTTGGTACTCCTGAGGCCTAAGATGTTCACTTTTGCAAATTTGCAGAAATTGTAGACTTATTCTCTGACACTACAGAACTGTCTCCACACAATTTCAAAAGTGTTTTTTCAGCTACCAGACACTTTATGGTTGTGTTTGCACAACTTGCTTAGCTAGATTTTACTTAATTTTGATTAATTAACCCAATTTTGATTAATTAACCTAATTATTGGATCGTACAATATAGTGAACTGCAAACTAGACAACCACATTTTATCCTAAGGTGTTGAAAACCCAGCCAATGAAAGTAAATTTAGGAAGCTAGAATCTGTACCTGGTGACTGGGATCATGTGGTATACTAAGCCATGATGAGATCTGTTTAGTGCTGGCTCAGCATGATAGTGAATCCAGTCATCAATTCAGATCATCTGGTCTATTTGACCAAGTATTGGACTAGCAGCAGCACTCCAAAATTTCAGAAAGAATATTTTCTGTCCTATTTGGTGGGTTAAATCTTACTATTGAGTTTCATGACCAGAATACTTCTAACTTTATAGACCAAAGTAAACTTTAACAGGCACTTTCAAAAGAGTCATTTAATTACAGAGTTTGAAAGATGTTTGTGCAAAAGAAATTGGGAAAAATAAGCTAAATGCTTATATTAGAAGACACGCATTGCAGGTAAAGTTGGTACAATTTTATGCAGATGTACTTACGCCAAGTGCCTAATGAAAGAAAGGCACCACCTTGCTTGCATCCAATCACAATGCCAGAATCTGCAGCAATCAAAATATATGTCAACTAGAGGACTGTTTTATTAGTATAGTAAATGCCATTTGTAGATTTTGATCTTAGGGAATGTTTTCTTAGCTTGCTTTGATTCTGCCATTCTCATTGGTGCAGGGGCGGGGGGGAGTGAAAGAAGACAGAGCCGGAGGAAGATTGAAGGCCGGGAAGAAGACGTGTTATCGAGGATAGGAATGCACAGGGTCACACTTCTCTGAGAACCAAAAGTGGCGCCTAGATTGAAGGGGGGGGGGAAGGGGGGGAAGTAGAGGGAAAATTACGTGGGCTTTAGTTTTAGCAATGCTTGGCTTAGAGCTGCATGTATCCTCCAGTAAATGAAATCTTTTTCAAATCTGCTTTGGATTTCAAGAGATTTGTCTGTATTGGGGCTTGAACATCATAGACCTGACACGCAGTGAGTTTGAATCATGTGGCTTTTAAACAAAAGTTCTGAATATACTTCAATTTGTAAAGTAAGCTAGAAAGAGGAGAATGACACTGTTAGAGTGTGTTAGTATGCTTTGACTTCTTACTAAACAGATGCTGTAGAAAATTAGAATTTAAAATCAGTTTAATCAAAAATATCAGCTAATACTGTTCAGTTTTGCTAACTGGCTATTAACAATATCAGTAACATAAACAGGAATATAAACGTACGCAGATCCCAGTGTAGTCTTAGCAAACTATCAAATGCTGTCAGTTTCTAGACTCCAGTAAGCTGTTGAAGAGAAGAAAAACCTTTATATATATATAAAAAACAGTGCTTCTTACAGATATGTTTTGTACTAAATTCTTTTTTTTTCTTGGCTACTACAAGAGCTTTACTGATGCCATGGAAACTTATCAAGCTATATTTCTGACAGGTTAACTGGTTAAGTACAATCTTGCTGTGAATAGATACCCTATTGACTTCAGTAAGTCTTACTTTTGGGTAGTCATACTAGGATTGCAATGTAATATCTTCCTGGAAGTGTTGTAATACCTCCATAATGCCCTCAGTTGCACTGATGTAGATGTCCTAGAATTTATTCTTAACTTCCCCCCTAAAACTATGTGGTTGCAAAATCTTTCTTTGTTTTTTGCAAGGTGTACCCCTCTTTTGTACCTTTCATTAAAACCCTGGCTGCATTTTCATATTTTTTATTAGACTGCTGTAACTTCTTTCTAAGATTTTGCCTTGTTTTCTCTTTCAATGCCTGTCTCTCTTCCATTACTACGTACATAGCAACCATCTGTAATTTTTCATGCTGACTGTCCCCATCCCCTGGGCATTCCCACTTTCACTATGTTCAAGCACTTTTGAAATACATCACTCTTTTGACTCACTAACCCACAGTTAGTGGCAGACTGTTCCTTTTGGTGCTGCAAAGGAACAGTCAAATCCTGGGCTGTAGGAAAGGACCTGTTCTGCAACGCCTCCCCATCCACCATTTTCCAGAAGGGAAAGAAAGATCAACATACAGAAGAGATTGATGCATGGACCACTCCAGTGACTCCACAAATGTCTTTCTGTTACTGGCTTAGCATAATACAAAATTATGGTTTGTTAAACCATGTTATGAATGTTGCCCAACACATTAAATAAACATGTTTAACAAATCACAAAAACAAATCTACACTATGAAACATAGGTAGGAAATGTGTTAAAATCAATTTTTACAATATGAACTTAATGAGATCTCTCTTCCCCTTTAATCATTTTTATGTACTATGTAATTTACCACTGACATTGACGACCACCTCTGTGCTTTCATATACCAACCATCTTTCTTGAAGCTGTTGCTTATGCCTGAAATAATCCCCCTTTCTTTGTTTTCCTTTAATACCCCTCAAAATCCTTAATGAATTTATTAATTAAAAGTGTTAATGAACTGTTAAAGCCTGGCTTGATCCTTCATCTGATCCCCTTCAGCTTAATCTATTGTAAATGTCATCTTCCTTCCTTGCCTTTCTTTTATTGGCCATCTAACAGAAACAGTAAGGGCATCATTGCTTGTTGTTCTGACAACAATCTGACACATCAGTATACTATTAATAATGTTGAACAGTCTACCGATTCTTTATATGGTGAGTACTGTAATGCACTAATAAGAGAGGCCATATTGATACTAAAAACTCGTATGCATATTTCCTGAATGTTGTTCAGTGATTTCTATCAGTACACACAACTTCTGCTAGTATGAGGAGTATCTATGATAATACAGTAATCATAGAGCCACCAGATATGAAATGTAGTTTTATTGACCTTTTGCTCTCATTTGCAGTCTTGCCTTACGTGGTACATGTAATACATGGAATAGGTTTTCATCTATCTGTGGGTTTCACCTTGTTTTTTGTTTCTTTACACATGTTCAACATGGCTGGGGGATGTTTGCATACGTGCCAAGTACTTTTTTAAGGTCTTGTTATCTGCAGTTTTGTTATCTGCAGTGGCAATATTATTTGCAATATAGGTCAGTTATGACATTTAACATTTAAAACAACCATTATCATTTGTTTAATAGCATCCTAGATTTAAAAACCACAAATAACAGAAATATAAAGCAACAGCTGTTTCATAAAGAAAGTATCCTGGAACAGCTAACTAAGACCACCAGATCTGACTTCAAAGATCTGGACAGCCACTAGATGACATCAAAATATACAGAAAACAATTAGCTGAAATCCAATGCTTCTCTGGAGTGTTGTGGTCCAGATCTGATAACCCTACAGCTAACACTGTTAGAACAGACTGAGCTTATATAAATCAGACTTACAGTGACAAGTGGCAGATATGTAAGCACATGCATAGCCTCAAGCCTTATATATGCTAGGAACACTGGCATGATAGCATCTGGGTTGGTTTCAGCTGCCAGGTCATACCATCTTCTAGCTAAATGTATATCCTGAGCATAAGAAATAATTTCTAAGAATAGCAAATTGCTCTGGAAAAATACAACAACTGAAAACTGCAACTAACTCTGTCAGGTTTACTTCTGTGTAGACACATGCATGTACTTTCTAGAAAGAACACAATTGTAGAGCCATCAAGGTTGTTTTGTCTGAATGTCCTGAAGGGACAGTATTAGATATAAACCAAAGACCTTAAGATGTTTCATGTTGCAAACCATCAGTCAGCACAAGGTTCTAGTTATAAATCATTGCTTATTTTGTTTCTGTCATTATTTTCTAGACATGGCTTAGATAAAGAAATCAAGAGCCAAAGCCCTACAATTGACATTCTCCTTTTGCATGAGGGGTTTCCCCTTTCTAATGTCCATTCCTCATAGTCTCAGGACAGAAAATAAAGATCCCTTTCTGGGAGGAAAAAAATGCTTCTATACAGAATGAAGTGGCTATACTCAGGCAGCACATTTTAAGTATCATGAAAAAGCCTTGAATTGTTAGTTATTCCACCACAGTGCCAGGAATGGGCCATGTCTGGATATAATGCCTATTCACTTGTGGGGTAGGCTGCAAAATGTTGTGGGGTGGTCTTGATAAGCCTTTTCCCCACAGGTGCTCTTCCAACATACTGGACATACTGGACTATAGCTTCCATAATTCCCAGCCAACTTGGTCAAGGAAGCACTGGCTGACAGTGATGGAGATCAAAAACCAATGCACCAAGTAGGGGAAGCCTCTTTCTGCATTTTCAGTTCTCCATGACAATATAAGGCTATTTTGTTCTCTACAATCTACCAATTCGTATTCTACACCTGAACTAGCAAATGTCAAGATACAGTCAGTCATTTCTTAATGCTTTACATTTTCTTTAGTCAACAAGTTATCCAGCTCTTATTAACACACTGACTTACAAAACTAGTCAGTCACTTTTCAATTGATTAAAGCTTACCTTATTGCATTAGAAATTGTTTTCTGTTCTTCGTTATTTAACTAGAATATTTACAATAAAAATGAACACGAGTGTTTGAAACAACATCAGGGGCAGGTTACTTTACCTGAGGAATGCCTAAACCATTTCATACATGTATGCCAGATTGAACATGGCTTCAGTGCTCTGTTGATTTGCAGCAAGATTATAATGAACTGCTGCTGTAGCATAATCTTTTGTTGTTCCAAAGCAACAGAAGTAATAATTTCTAGTTTTAACTCTGGCAAATGCATTGCCTGGAAAACAAATACATGGAAGAGATGAAGAAGATGATGTTGATTTTATTTTGTATCCTGCACATTGTCTATAAACTTGAACTGATTACAGTAAGCTTTTCAGAATAAATTTTTTTTCCACTAGCTTTTGAAGACAGTCTTGGAAAAATGCAAACATATATCCTACATGGGTATTTTTATTTAAGCATTGTATTTTTATTATAAGCACTGAAGATGTTACCTAGATGGGTAACGAAACATCTCCAAGAAAATAACCAGGCTCAGAGAACCCCAAGGACTCCGCAGTATTTTTATTTATTTATATTCTACCTTTCTACCTATAGGGACTTGAAGGCAGCTAAAGACAATAAAATATATAACCCCAACATCTAAAATATCATAAAACAGTAAATAATTCCATAATTAACCCTAAGGGCTTGTGTAAAGAGGATGTCTTTTATAAAAGGAGAAAAAAAGTGGGACTGAGTCTGTTCCTGACTATAAGTGCATTTCATGGTTTGGAAGCAACGTAGGAAGAGGTCCTCTTCCACAAAGAGACCTCACAATCAGAAGGTGAGGACCTCTTTAAGAAGTCCTTGCCTGCTGATCTTATAATCTCAATTGTTTCTTATCAAGATGGTATTTTAGATAGGGATTGGAATTAACTTACTGTCTCTTCATGTATAAAACTCAATTCCATTTTTATCCATAAAGTCCTCAAACATCTTATTTGATTTCTGAAATTTTTATGTGTTCCGCAATAAAACTTTCAAAGCAGCTTACAGCAGAGTAATAAAACTATATTTATGTTGTAAACTTTCAATAGAATTTGTCGTTACGTGAAAAATGGTCTATTTCATAAAGTACAACTATTTAATCTATATGATAGTTTTTGTCAGTAACTAGACAGAATTCAACCCATTTATGCAAAGGAGACCATCTTTTACCACTTGCAGTTCAAAGAATTTACAGTGAGTGGACAGAGGATTTTGTCCATTTTATAAAGAGAAATGATCCAGCAGTTATCGTTTAGCATTGCTCTATTCTATGACCAAACCTTAAAGCAAAATTATTAATATAAATCTCTAACAGGCAGAGAACATTGGTAAAACATTCAAAGTAGTCCATTAGGGGAAAAAATGAAATTTAACAATGAAGAGATAAAAGTAAAGAGTTCCTTACGTTGACCTGGATGCCTCTTGATTACATGGACACATCTATGTAATTTCTTGGCAATAATATGGAAGTAGTTTGCCATTTCCTTCTTCCATGCAGGCTGACATAAATTAAGTCTAAGAGAGTGTGGCAGGTTGAGACCAGTCATCTGCTTAACTTCTACAAAATCTAATCACCATCAGGGCACAGAGGAGGAAGAGGCATAGTTGCTGTACTTGAGCAGGAATTAAAGGTACACAGTAGCTAAGTCTTCGTTCTTCCATGAGTTTATTTCTGTGCTCTGAACATTATCAAGAGATTTTGAGAGGCAGGTTAACAAATAATTTTCTCAAACAAACATGAGATAGTATATTTCAAGGCATTCTTGTTTTCTGATAGAGTGGAATGACTTGCATGAAATACCAATAAAGTAAAACAATTTAAAGTGTTTAAGACTGTTTTCTCTTTACTAAAATAAAATGGGAGGCAATAAAGAAAGCCATTAACTGAAAATTGACTAGTATTGTTTTTTTCCCCCTCAACTGATTTCAACTGTTGGTTAAAATGGTATCATCATGAAAAGAGGCAAAACAGAAACAAAAAGGAGCAAGGAACAAAACCAAAACAGGCATGTAGTTGGTTTTTAATACTGTCTTCTTTTTCTGGATATATATATTGTTTTCATTTAATTTTTATCTGTAAGCTGCCCAGAGTCACTACAGAGCTGGATAGCCTTGAAATTGAAATAATAAATAAATAAATATTTTAAAATACAACAGTTTTAACATAAAATGAGTGTCCAAGAAAATGCCATCTTAATAATATTTTAGTATTGTCTGCATATTCTGTATCCAAAATATTACATGATTCTTTGGGATGGCTTAACATAATCATTTCTTGCTACTCAGTTGTAAAAGCACAAACAGAGGAAATTATATTAATAAAAGTAGATTGCTTTTAAGTCTGTTCATACCTTGACTTGCAGCTCACTTCCATAAGAGAAGAGCCAGTGGGTATATCTGATTTCTCTGTAGAAGTTTAACCTTTTCTGTAACACAATTGTGGCATCACATTACATATCTTAATGCAGCCCATCTATTGCAGAATAGAGGCAAGAGCATAACTGGATATTTCCCTTACCAGATTCCATGATGTAAGCTGAATTACTCTGAGCTACCTCATAGCCCATTTCAGCCAGGCATATTGAACAAGAGATTAATCTATATTACCAGACTGGTAAGCAAAGTATGCTGTCAGGATCTTTTTTGACCATCCTCCTAGCTCTCATACAGTTCTGTAAAGCTGAAGAGTACAAAGAAAGCTATTAAAGATCAGTAAATAATGCTTGAAGTATCTGGTTTCTCTTGTCTTGATTAACAAATCTTATTTTTTGCTCCTCATGTTTATTTCCTACTTTTCTCCCAGTGAGCTAGAGATGGAATAAATGGCATATACCCCATGTTATAAATAGTTACACTGAAAAACAGAGTGATGATCACCCCAGTAACTAATATGTTGGAAATGCAGATTCTAGTGCAATCTGTGTCAACCCTTTGAGGTAGTCCAAACAAGAAGCACCAACATGAGTACTAATACCACCTTTATTGTAAGGTTACAGTAACAGAATCTTGCAAGTCTGAAAGCACCTCTCCGCTCCCTTACTTTTACTCTCCCAAAAACTAGGGAGGGTCCCTTCTGAGATGCCTTCTCCACCCCCATCCCTCCCCAAAGTGCCATATTGCAAGCTGCAGCTGCCTCTATGATTTTTATTTTAGCCCATTTTTAATGCTTAAAAATATTTATTTTGCAAGAATGAAATAATCATCCCTGCACATTTGATATGGATTGTTCTTTAAAAAAGAAAGAATAAACTGTCTAGTCAAATTTATAGTTCAGTTTTAATCTCTTCAAAGTAGTTTCCCCATGCCAACAGGAAGCACCTCAGTGTGATTCTCACTACTTTTACAAGTAGCACCCACCTTCCCAGTAGCATTACACAAATAAAATTGATAGTGGTAGACCACAACTTTGAAACATCGAGGCTGCTTTTCCCTATGATGTTCTCATGATATTAGTTTACTCAGTTAACCAAATGTTCTGGCTTAGCATGACATACAGAACTATATATTAACGGCACTGCAGTTAAAATGGGATTGGTAGTTTGTAGTTCATTTGGACAAGTCAGCAAACAGAAATCACGCTTTTCCAAATTATATACTTGGCAGCATAGAAAAGCCATCATGTTGCCTTCAGAAGCAGGGAAAAAACATTTGAGAGAAAAAAGCATTAGAAATACAGGGTAGAGTACAGTATGTCTCATGATTTCTGTGAGTCAACACATGTAACAAGATTGAATTTAGGTACTGATTTGCTTATTAGATTTATATCCTGCTTTATCTTCAGGTGCGCAAGGTAGCATACACAGTGCTGTCTCCTTCCATTTTCCCCCACAACAACAACTCTGTGAGGTAGGTTAGGCTTGTGAGAGATGGATAAAATATGTTATTATTGACAAATAGTAGCTTGAGCATACTAAGAGTGCAG